AGGAGGACGAGGACGACTGGCAGGCCTAGGGCCCGGGCGGCGCTCGGAGGAGCCAGCGGGGAGGTGGGGCCGGCCGTGCGGGCTGGAGAGATCACCGGAGGCACCGGGAGTCAATAAAGGGGACCTGAGAACCCAGCCCGAGCAGAGTGCGCTGTGCATCGGGAACGTGGCCGGCCGCGCGGGGCAGCAGGGACGCCTCCTGGGGGATGAGCTGGATCTACTCCTGCCGGCTTCGCTGGGAACCCTGGACCCTGGCAGGTGCTGGCTCTTCGGGGCGGGGGCTGGTGTTCCTCGGGCACAGCGGGGACCCAGGCAGGCAGTGACGTGGCCGCCATCAGGAGGGCCCCACCTTCTCCCGGTGAAACTGTGGGTGCAGGAAAAGGTAATGAGAAACCACAGCTCAGGGCAGGGGCCCGGGGGAGCAGAAGGCCGGCCTGACCTTCCGCAGCGCAGCAAAGGCGGCACCAAAGGTAGCTTTGACTTCCACGCGGTCTCGGATCCAGGCGGGCAGCTTCGCCAGGACGGGGGCCCGGGCATACCGCTGGTCCAGGAGCACGATGCTGGCGAAGTCCCTCTGGTGCCGGATGGCCCTGCCTGGGGGGCACAGCGCTGGCTGAGTTCAACCTGCCTTCCCAGTGTGCATCCTGTCTCCTCCACCCTCGGCCCTCAGGCGGAAGAGGGCAGGAGACCCTTCCTGTCACCACCCGCCGTCCAGCCGTCCCCAGCTGGGCTCACCTATGGACTGGTTGACGGCCTTCATGCACAGATTCTCCACCAGGGCCTTACTGGGGGGCACCTGCCCAGGCGCCGCAGGCTGAGATGGGAAAGGAGACAGCTGGGCAGAAGTATGTGTCACCTCCTGCCTGGTGTCCCCCGTCCCTGAGGAAAGACCCAGGCCTCACGGGCCCAGGCCAGCAGGTGGCGTGACCTCGTGGAGAAGCCCAGAAGGCAAGGGCTGCGTGCCCACACCGCTGAAGGGCTCACAGTGCCGAGCCGCGAAGCCCCAGGTCTAGGGGGACCCCACTCTTCCTCTCCAGCCCCCCACCGCCGGCCCTCTGGAACCCGCCAGGACTCACAAGGCGCTGATCCAAGTAGGCCATCTTCTCCTGCAGCTCAGGAGCCCTGATGTTGGGGTAGGGCATGCCCACCATCACCACGCACCTGGGTGGTCGCGTGAGGGGACAGGTGGGGTCTCGGCCTACCCGGTGCCAGCCCGGGCCAGGTCCCAGTCGGCCTGATTCCCCGCTCCACAGTCCCGCACACCCCTTCCTTCACTCCTGTGCCCTGCGCCACCTCAGAGGACCCCGAGCAGCTGGGCTGGGTGCAGATGGTAGCATCACATCACAGGCAGGGTGCGGCCCCGGCAGCAGGAAGCTTGCTCACCTACCGGCCCAGGTCGTCAGAGAAGTTGATCCCTTCGCTCATCTTCCCTCCAACCACAGAGAGGAGCAGGGCCCCGGTCACTGGGCCTCCTGCCTGGACACAGCTCTGTGGAAAGACCCCTCCGGAGTGCTGTGCCAGGGCCGGGAGGATGCCAGGCCCGCGTGGTCCCCACACCCGGCCACTGTGCCCTCACCTTAATACACTTGGCGTACGCCGCCAGCACCTGCTCCACCTGGCTGGCTCTCTTGGGCTCTTGGAAGATCTGGAAGGAGAGTCTCTGAGGAAAGGGCTCAGGACGAGGGGTCTCACATCTGCTCGAGGGTGTGGTCTGCACCCTGGGCACAGGACCCTCAGAGTCCAGCTTTGGGGATCCCTCTGGCCAGGACCCAGCGACCAGACACAGAAGAGGTGGGTGCAGTGAGGGCCCAGGAGAAGGGGAGCCACATGGGTTCAGAGCGTGAGGACCCCAGCAGGAGTTCTGGGGGCACTGCCACGCGGGAGGGGGTGCCAGGCGAAGGGCCCTCACCTGCTTCCTGACAGCCAGGCGGCTCAGCAGGCCTCTCTTGTCCCAGTGGGCAAGGACCTGGCGTTGGTACTCATAGGAAGGGAAGAAGCAGACCAGCCCTCCGGGGACCACGTTGCACAGATTGCAGAGAACGTGCCCCGCCTCGTCCATCTAGGAGACAGAAGGAGCCCTGTGGAGCCGCCCTCCAGACACCACACGCCCCGGGCTCCAAGCCGAGGCAGAGCTCTACCCAGGACATGCCTGGGCCCGGGAGGACAGCGGCCACCCGGCCCCGAGAGGAATCGGAAGGCGGGTGTGCCAGCCTGTCCTCCAGACACAAGTCCCAACACCAGCACCGAAAAGAGAAGCCGGGCCCCCGAGTGCCCCAGCTCCTGCGTCCTGACAGCATCCACGACAAGGGAGGCACTGTTCCCACGTAGTAGGTGGCTGGAGACGCGTCCCAGACCTGCACCCTGCCTGGGGCTAAGAACGGGCAGCCTCCTCACTCACTGGGTCCTAAAGGGACACCTGGAGGGCTGAGGGAGAGCACGTAGTGGCTAAAGGGCGGGCAGCCCACGCCTTCCCCGAGGAGCACCTGGAGATGCCATTCATCCAGTGCCAGCTGCACGGGTGCCTCAGTGCCAACTTCCCCAATGCCCGCACTGCCGGAGCCCCCAGCTGCACCCACCATAGCAGGCAGCTCTCTCTTCTGGTAGGTGAACTCCAGCTGCTGCTCGGTGGCCCCGCCACAGAGGACCAGGGGCAGGATGTTGTCTGGCGGGATCACGTGACCTGGTGGCACCCAGAGGGGCTGGATTCAGGGAGGGGTCTCCCACCCGTGTCCCAGACCAGGAAGAGGGTTTTCAACCCACACTCGGGCCCTCAGCTACAGTAAAGGTGGACACTGCAGAAGGAGGGTCACAGAGTGAGGGCAGGAAGACAGCGGGTGACAGGACACCCTGTGGTATCCACGCCCGGGGCCCAGCAAGTGAAGCCGGGTGAACAGAGGTCGCCACGCAGGGTCTCGCCCCCGCCATCCCGAACACGGCCGCTCACCGCAGGAAAACTCCACCACGCGCTCTGCTTCCACCCCGGCGCAGGCCAGCAGCTGCTCCCGGAAGTCTGACACCTGTAGGGCACAGTTCTGAGGTGTGTGCTGTGCAGAGGGCTGGGGAGAGGGACCCTGGCCCCTGGCGTGGCGGCTGTGCGCGGGGGAGCAGCAGGGAGCAGAGCGGGAAGTCTGGGCTGGGTGGCAGCCAGGACAAGGGACAGAAGAGGAGCCAGGAAAGGTTGATGACGAATTATGAAAAAGAAGAACCATTAGTGACTCCAGGGCTGACAGCCGCCGCAGACAACACAGGACAGGCGGCCGATTCCGCATGGGGGTAAACCCTGGCTTCAGATCAACATCATCCCAGGGACAATAACCAAATGTTCACCCAGCAACCAAACATCACATTGCTTTTGGCTGTCACTGACTGCACGCTTGTTTACGTCACCATCCTCTGCCTGCACTGGGAGATACAGAGTCAAACAAGTGAACTCGGATTCTGACTCAGACGTGTCAGTGGAGACTCTCGGGAAACACACTTCCTAGGGGCCCCGTGAAAGGGCCCACGCACGTGACAATCGGGGGCGCATAGGTCGTCCGTTAGAGACGTCTTGCTGTGCCTGACCGGGAGAAGGCTCCAGGCCCAGGTCCCCACCACAGGACCAGAGCGGGTAGGCAGGGCTGTCGGTGCCAGTTCTGAGCAGATCTGACCGTCAAAAACAATGACGAGATAACTTGCAAGATGGGATGAATACAAATCTACACATCTAGAAAATAACAGGAAAAAACCGAGAGAGCGGCGGCAGCGGCGGCGGCAGCAGAGGCTGAGGATGGCAGTCAGGACCGCACAGCCTGTCACAGCGAGCGTGTGTCAGGGGACAGGTGCTGGGCAGAGACTCGCTGCATCGCCACGGTGCTGATCAGAACAGAGCGACCGGGAGCAGCCTGACAGCTCACACAGGAGGAAACGGGAAATGCACCAAGTGCACGGAGCCGGAAAAGGGGGAGACACGGAGGAGGAGTTATCCCTGCCGACAGGGAGAGACGCTCCTGGTGTTTCGTCTCTACTGGGTCCTTACCGGCCGCATGGTGCCACCTGCGATGACCACTGCCCGGCACTCCTTCACCACCTGGGCAAAGTGCACGGCTGGGTTCAGGAGCAAGAATTTGAGGCTGCTCTGACTGAGGCTGCCTGCAGGGAGGACGGACGGGACACACAGGGGCCGGCGTGGTGAGTCGAGCCCCGAGGTAGACAGTGCTGCCTTCCCCCTTGCACTGGAGCAGAGCCAGGTGCAAAGAGAGAAACGAAACGGGTGCGGGTCACACAGCCGGTGGGCGACTCCCCCGCTTAGGGCCTC